TGAAATTAGTAACAATATCTTGTAGTTGTGTACTTCTCTATTGCTTCTAAAGTACGCATTTTCTTGCTTTATTTTACCTATATATGTATTTGCTGAGTGGAAAATGTGGTTGTTAATTGTGTGGACTTTGGCATCAAGCAGATTTTGTTTTGAGTACTAGCTTCCTTTCATCTTAGCCTGCCAAATAGCAAATGGCTTCTATTGTGATTTCATTATCATCAATATAAAGAAATAGACTCTTGGCTGGGCGCGGTGGCTCACGCCTGTAATCCCAGCACTTTGGGAGGCCGAGGCGGGTGGATCACGAGGTCAAGAGATCAAGACCATCCTGGTCAACATGTTGAAACCCCATTTCTACTCAAAATACAAAAAAAAAAAAAAAAATTAGCTGGGCATGGTGGCACATGCCTGTAATCCCAGCTCCTTAGGAGGTTGAGGCAGGAGAATTGCCTGAACCCAGGAGGCAGAGGTTGCGGTGAGCCGAGATCACGCCATTGCACTCCAGCCTGGGTAACAAGAGCGAAACTCAGTCTCAAAAAAAAAAAAAAAAAAAAAAAATAGACTCTCTTATTGTTCAACTGCTTTATTACAAGGACCTCTCCTTGTATGAAATGTAAACTTCTTGTTTAGATGTCAGGATTCAGGAACATGTTTCAGCTAAGTATGACACATCCTGAAGGATGGCTCATGTAGGAAAGAGTGACTTTTTCTGTATTGTACTGTTGTTAATCACTTTAGATGTATCTGAACTATCACAGACTCCCTGAGCGTTCCTCGCCAGTGCTCAGACTTTGTTCTGTAACAGCTGATTTGGGCTGGGCATGGTGGCTCACACTTGTAATCTCAGTACTTTGGGAGGCCGAGGCAGGTCGATCTTGAGGTCAGAAGTTTGAGACCAGCCTGGCTAAACGGTGAAACCCCATCTCAACTAAAAATAAAATAGCCAGGCATGGTGGCACATGCCTGTAATCCCAGCTACTCAGGAGGCTGAGGCAGGAGAATCACTTGAACCGGGGAGGTGGAGATTGCAGTGAGCTAAGATCACGCCATTGCAGTCCAGCCTGGGTGACAGAGTAGATTTCAGCCTGGAAATGCAACCCAGTAGGTTTCAGCCTCATTTTTCCCCAGCTCCTATTTAAGATGGAGTTGCTCTGGTTCACACGCCTCTGACAATCACACCTCCTAAGCCCAATTATATTAGAGGCGTGAGCCACTGCGCCTAGCCCCTGCTTTCAAAAAGTATATAATTTCCTGTAACGTGATGATTAATACTGAGTGTCCGCTTGATTGGATTGAAGAATACAAAGCATTGATCCTGGGTGTGTCTGTGAGGGTGTTGCCAAAGGAGATTAACATTTGAGTCAGTGGGCTGGGGAAGGCAGATCCGCCCTTAATCTGGGTGGGTACAACCTAAGCAGCTGCCAGCTAGCATATAAAGCAGGCAGAAAAATGTGAAAAGGTGAGACTGGCTAGTCTCCCAGCCTACATCTATCTCTCCTAATAGAATATATATGTATCCTATTAGTGCGGTTCCTCTACAGAACCCTAACTAATACAGGCGGACAGGGCTTACCTTCATACCATTATATGAAGGTGAGGACTAAACTCTGATTTTTATTTTGCCCAAATTCCTATCTAAGGGGTCTGGGGAGTCATGCCCTACAAATCATAAATTCTCATCAGATGGGTTTTATTTAACCCGAATTATGACTTACTTTCCAACTTGACTCTGGCATAACATTATGAGATAAGAAAGAATATTTTACCCCAAACCATGTTTCTTTTCCGTATTTTGAAATGGTTATACAAAGCTGTTCTTTGTGGCAGAAAATTTGCATCTGTCAAGAATCTCTGTTAACATAGCTAGAGCTTTTTCATCCAGACCCTCCCAATCCTGAAAAGATGAACTAAGATCTGAATAGGAAACATTTGTCATCTATTGTCTTTAAGGGCAGCCACTATAAGACTTTGAAAGAACTTTGGCCTCCACCATCTTTTAACCTTTTATCTGAACATTCCCTTTCTATCAATCCACGTCTTTAGAAAACTCAACCAATTGTCAACCAGAAAATGTTTAAATTCACCTATAGCCTGGAACCGCCCCCCCCCCCCCGCCCCCACCTTTTAGTCGTCTTGCCTTTCAGGACCAAACCAATATGTATTTCTTAAATGTATTTGATTGATGTCTGGTGCCTCTCTAAAATGTATGAAACCAGGCTGCACCCTGACTACCTTGGGCACATGTTCTCCGGACCTCAGGAGGGCTGTATCACAGGTCATGGCCACTCATATTTGGCTCAGAATCTCTTCAAATATTTTACAGAGTGTGACTCTTTTTGCTGACAAGGGAAATAGCTATCTCTGTCTATGCATACACAGACCTTTTTTTGAAAGACCTTTAGATCTTGTTTTGAATCCCAGCTTCATTACATCTTGTCCTCCCAAATAGCACATTCCTTTTTTTGTGGTTTTGCTATCATCAATATAAAGAAATAGACTGTAGCCTTGAACTGGCTGAGATTACTTGAGATGGCCTCAGGTGATCCTCCCACCAGGCTGGATCCAGGAGGTTATGAGTAGAATTTTAGATGCCACCAAAGAAGTAGCACTTGAATATAAATTTCCTCAGCAAGGCAATTTACTTCTATAGGAGGGTTTGGCTCACAGATGGAACAAAGGCAAGCACACACCTGGACAAGGTACTTATGCCCCAAATGAGGTCACCCCTACTGCTGTGTCGTTCCCCTATTGGCTAGTGTGAGATTGCACAGTCTAGTCTAATTTCGATTGGCTATTTTAAAGGGGGCAGGGATATGAGCTGGAGTGGCGGGTGGGTAGCTTGGCAGGAAGGACGGTTATGGGCAGGTCAGAGCAGATAAGCAGGGGTCAAAGCAGGTGACCTGGAGCAGGGGACCAGGGTGAGTCAGGATGGGGCAGAGGACCAGGCGAACAGATGTAAACTACTAATTAGAACTGGTGGAAAATGTTGTTTACTGAAACTACAAGGAAGTTAAACTTTAGAGAATTAAAGAATAAGAGAGCTGAACATACTGATTCTTTGAAGAGAAACTTGGTGTTCACTCTAACAAGGAGTTCAAGGTGGCAGTAAGCTATAATCTCCCCACTGCACTTCAGCCTGGGTGGCAGAGACACTGCCTCAATAAGAATAATACATTTTAAAAATAAAAAATGCAAGAAAGGCAAATTAGGGATTTTTGCAAATATCTTCTGAACCCTCATAACTGCCCTAGAAGATAGTATTATTCCTCTTTTACAAGTAAGAAAACTAAGGCTTCTAGAGCTTAAATGACTTGCCCAAGATCACTCAGATAAAAAGTGGGAGTTGCACAATCAACTTCTTTAATTTCAGAGCTGAAACACCTGCCAGCATAGCCGAGTGCCATGAATTATCAGGAACAGGTGAGATCAGTGACTATGATGGCGCTGGGAGAAGGGGTGTACGTGAATTCGCTTTTTAAAAAGTAGTCAATAAAGAGGCTAGGTCACAGTGTCATATTTACCAGCATCTAAGATAGTGCTTCCCCATTGCCCACGTGGCAGAAAGCTCTTCCCCTGCTCTGCCCACAGGACCTATCCTCTCCCTGCAAGATCTGTGGGGATTTCTCAAGGACATGGTTGCAGGGATAAATTGTGTCAGCTGTTGCTTTTTAAGGGTGCAAATCGATCTGATTCCCCAAGTTCCTGGAAGAGACTGGCCACTTGAGGATAGAAGGGGAGGGCGTTAATGCTGGTGGTTCTTTTTTGGCCTTTTCTCCTTCCGAAAAGGTGGAGTAGCTGGTATGTGGGTACAGAGTATGCCATGAGAACGTTTTTTTTAGCAAATCCATGAGTTGACACGTAAAAGCTGACCTGGGATTAAAAGGTAAGTTGGTTGGGCATCCTTATAAGAACAAACCTTTCTGGCCAAAAGACCAGGCTGGCAAACTCCTGCTGTTGCGATTCATGCTCTAGAATGACAGAGTCACCACATGAGTGTGACCTGGTGTCTAGGAATGGGAATTAATCTAACTCATCTCCTGTTTCTTTGGAGATGGCTTGGCTCTGTAGTGGAGAGAATATAGCCTTTGAAGCCAGACAGACCTGGGTTCAAATTCTAGCTCTGTGGCTCCTGAAAACCTACCTAATTTCTCTACTGCTCAGTTTCCACATTCGTTGAATGAGGATGATCATATTCACCATGTAGGCTACTGTGGTTATCAAACGATGAAGTAAAAGGGCCAGGCACGGTGGCTCACGCCTGTAATCCCAGCACTTTGGAAGGCCGAGGAGGGCAGATTTCTTGAGCTTAGGAGTTTGAGGCCAGCCCGAGCAACCTGGTGAAACTCCATCGATTAAAAAAATACAGTAATTAGCTGGGCATGGTGGGATGCACCTGTAGTCCCAACTGAGGATGCAGTGAACTGAGATCACTCTGCTACACTCTAGCCTGGGTGACAGAGCCAGACCCCGTCATACACACAAAAAAAGGGACAAAGTAAAAAGACACCCCAAGGTGACTGGCAGTAAATGGGTGGCTACTACCTCTGTTACCAAAATCAAGCCTCCAGTCTCTATGCCATGTGCATACCTGGACAAGCAGCTTGGTTCCAACTGCAGCCTTGTGTCCCTTTCCTGCTCTTTAGAAGGTAATTGTTTCAGAAAGAAAGCTCTGCACGTGTCAGTGATGCCAAGCAGCCCTGTGAGGAAAGGGCTCAAACTGGAGTGGCGCCATTAGAGGGGAACTGGCATGGGGCAGGGCTGCTATGCAACCTGGGGAGATTCAGTTCACCTCTCTGGGCCTCCAGTTTTTCAGTGTTATCTGGGGATAAGGATAGCTGCCCATTGCATGATTGGAATAATCACGTTTATCCTATATAAACAACCGACAAGGACTTGACTCTTACCCGCCCACTCCTTGCAATGGGGATTTGAGGAAATATCTGCCTCTTGACCTGGGTGGGTGTGGATGAAGGCCAGACTGTAGGGAGGACCCACTGAAAGTAAGGCAGTGAGTGTCTTCTACCAACTGTGCCATGCTGGACCCACCTGGAACATTCCTTACCCATGAAGAATATGTGCCAGCACTTGTGTTTTTCATTCACAGCTGCAGTAACCCTAAATTCCTCAAATCCCCCGAGTGCAAGGCCATGGCTCAGAAAAGCCCTGTGGACACCACCATTAATCTCCCCTACAAGGACTTGACCTCCGAGGTGACCAGGCGCAGAGTCATGATGACCACCAGGTACCCAAAATCTTTCCTGTGGATTGCTCATGGGGTTGGGATGGAGCATAACACTGAGCCCCAGCAAGTACCTGAAACTGTAGCTGGCACTGGTCTGTTTAAATGTATTCAGTTACTGCGGCAAGACACATTTCTCAGAAGAGGAAACTGCTTTGTCATCCATTGTGAAAAACAGACTTTTCTCACATGGCCCTTCAAGGGGCGATGACACCCATTTGCGTATGATTACTGCTTGGGTGGTGGTGGGATAAACTTCACATTGGTGGCTCTTAATAGAGGGTGATGAGTGGGGATGACTTTGTTTTGTTTTCGTTTTTTTGAGACAGGGTCTCACTCTGTTACCCAGGCTGAAATTTAGTGGCACAATCGCAGCTCACTCTAGCCTCAGCCTCAACCTCCTGGGGCTTAAGCAATCCTCCCACCTCACCCTCCCGAGTAGCTGGGACTACAGCCATGCACCACCACGTCTGGTTAGTTTTTTGTATTTTTAATAGAAACAGGGTTTTGCCATGTTGCCCATGTGGGTCTTAAACTCCTGGGCTCAAGTGATCTACCTGCCTCAGCCTCCCAAAATGCTGGGATTATGGACCAGAGCCACTGAACCTGTCCAAGCTGACACCTCTAGCTTGAGCTCTTTGTGGGGTATATTATGAGATTAAAAATAATCTTACTAAATCTGATTAAGTTGGTCAAAAAAAATCAAAATTATTGATTCAAAATAGAAAATACAGACTTCCATATAATATTGTTTGCAATGCCCTTTGATCTTTATTAGGATGTAAGATATTAGCAGATTGATAGGAATTAGGTACCGTTTCTTAGTCACCATACATGAGAATGTGAAATCTTTGTTGTTAGTGGTGCATGGTGAATTTGACACCACGGGTTTAGACCATGAGAGTCATTGTCTGCAGGAAGCTGTGCTCCCAATGCTCTGAAGTCCATCCAAGAAAAAAGAGATGGCATAATTCTGGGCCTGTCCCAGGCACCAAACAATTCTCTTGCCATTATCCCACATCCCTGCAGCAACATTAGGGATCAACTTTGATCCCTAATCAAAGATTAGGAGATGGCAGCAGTGAACTTGTGGCCAGATTAAAATTTAAATTTGGATTCCAGTTCTGCCTTTTACTGGTCACATGATCTGGGTAAATCACCTTCTGTCTCAGCTTCCTCAGCTCAAAGGTTTAATGTGGGATATGGCTGAGATTCTACATGTGGTTAATTTCTAGGTAATTTCCAGTCCCTGGAACACAGTAAATGTTCAGGGAACAGTTAAATCTCAACCTGTAAAAGCTTGACAGGCTAGTCCTATGCCCTTGAAGGCAGGGTTTGCCCAGCCCTGAGAAGGATGGGAAGACCTTGGTATGCCTTAGCATACCCTGCAGCCTGTGGATGGGGGCAAGTTAGGCCAAAGGGAGCTGAAGTGAACCTGAGGCTGAACTGGCCCTACGAAGAGCTGGAATGCAAATGAAACGTTTAGATGCAGCCTGCCCCATGCCGAAATGTGCAGAGAGCTGCCCATTTGATGGGTAGAACTCCTGCTCTAATCCTAAGAGAGCTTGGAGGATGGCGGTGGAGGAGCAAGGGAGTAGACTCCAACTCTATTCGTGCCAGGGCACCGAGGGAGATAGCTGAGATCACTCTGAGAAGAGCTGACTGACAATTAAAGTGTACCTAGAATATATCTCCTATCTGCAGAGTGACTGTGGGTGGAGGAGCTTGGAAGGAAGTCCTCCAAAATGTTAACTATTCTCTTTAGATGCTGGCATCTGGGATGTTTCTTTTGCACCCTCTTTTTTGTTGTTTTGAGACAGGGTCTTACTCACCCAGGCTGGAGTGCAATGATGCAATCACAGCTCACTGTAACCTTGATCTCCTGGGCTCAAGCAATCCTTCCACCCCGGCCTCCTGAATAGCTGGGACCACAGACACATGCCACCATGTCCGGCTAATTTTTAGTGTTTTTTTTGTAGAGACAGGGTCTCCCTATGTTGTCCAGGTTGGTCTTGAACTCCTGGGCTCAAGTGATCCTCCCACCTCAGCCTCACAAAGTGCTGGCATTACCCAAGCTAATTGACGGGTGGAACACCGGCTCTAATCCTGAGTCTGTTCTATTTTTTTAAAAAAGTTTATCTTTATTCCAATGATATTCAATGTCCCTTTCTTTCTAGAAAAGAGATAATCACCCAGAAAAGTGATGAAGTTAAGATGCTCTCCCACTTGGATTGGGAACGAGCCCCTCCCCCTCACAGGACCCACCTCAGAGTACCTCCTGCCCCACCTCCCTCTCCAGCTGAGGACCCCACGGACTCCTAAGATAAAAACTTTAAGTTGTTTTGAAATGAATTCTTACACAAAACTCCAGAAAATAGTTTCAGTGGTGTTCTTGAGGTTCGTCTAGAAGACTCTTGAAGATCTTTGTTCTTTCCTATTTTTCTTCATCACCTAGAATTACCATAGAGCGTGGTTTACCCTTGTGAATATACTTAGTCATTTTCGATTTTTCAAGCCAAGTCTCTGATACAATATGCATAGACTTTGATCTTTAATTTATGTTATGTTATAGAACTATTGCTGTAGTCGGTTATATTTAAATTAATAAAGAATTATCAGGCCTTGTTGTTTATTACTAAATCTAAATCCGTGAAAAGGCCAGGGCTGTAAAGTCCAGAATTTAAAGATCTTAGGTAGTGGGAACCCCGAGGTAGCTGGATTTTCAAAACGCAACCCAAGACACTACAGTTGTGTGGCCCTGTAACTAACTAGCTTAATGGAGCTGCATTTCCATGCTGTGTGCTGGGCTAGGGTGGTTGAGTTTTATGTTTATTGACAATGTTTTTAAAGTTTGCTTCTGGGAGATTTCAAGTGATTTTCAAACTCTGTAACAGAAAACTCTACCATGAAAAGCAGCCAAGTGCAGGGTGGTTCTGCTGGGGAGAAGTCTATTGCTTGAGTCCCCTCCAAGCTCCTTGACCTCAGTGCACCTCTAAGGACTCCCAGAGCTCTTCTGAATTGTCTGAAGGCATCAAAAATGTGATAATTCTGGCATACAGACACATGTAAGAAACATTCCTATATGCCATCCTTTATTTCATCTGCTTCTTCCTAGAGTCCTTGTAGGTGTTCTCTCTCCAGGACTGCCCTTAGAAATGTGCTCTGGCTCCCCTATGAAAAAGGGAGCTAAGTTTCTGTACCCTATTGTGGGGTTGGGGCAATCACTCTGTGATCTCCTCCACCCCTAACCCCAAGCATTTAATAAACCAATGTGCCTTTGTTAAAAATAAAAAGTTCTCCGGTTCTTCTACTCCCAGAGTAGCGGGCTGTGCCATTGGTGTGGAAGTCAGGCTTCTTACCTGTGACCTTCAGTGGTGTGAGGCAGGGAAGGAGCGTGTCCTGAGTGTCATTGACAGCTGGATGCTAGACATGCAAGCTCCCTCTCCTCAGTCCGGGGAGGAAATGGGCCCGCACTGTCCAATAGGACAACCACTAGCCACTTGTGACTACCTCAATTTAAATTCATCAAAATCAAATCAATTCAGTTCTTCAGTCATACTAGTTGAATTTCAAGTGCTTAGTAGCTTTGTGCAGCCAGTGGCTACCCTATAGGATGTTGCAGATATAGAATGTGATGGCCGTTAAAGAGAGTTCTATACAGCCAGGCATGGTGGCTCACCTCTGTAATCCCAGCACTCTGGGAGGCAGAGGCAGGTGGATCACCTGAAATCAGGAGTTCAAGACCAGCCTGGCCAACATGATGAAAGTGTGTCTCTACCAAAAATACAAAAATTAGCTGGGTGTGGTGGCCTGTGCCTTAATCCCAGCTACTTGGGAGGTTGAGGCAGGAGAATCGCTTGTACTTGGGAGGTGGAGGTTGCAGTGGGCCGAGATTGTACCACTGTGCTTCAGCCTAGGCAACAGAGCAAGAATGTCTTAAAAGAAACAAAGAAGGAACAGTCAAAGATGGAGGAGGAGTCTAACATTCTGGAAGCTTCATGAAGAAAAAGCTTTTCTTCCCTTTGTTTCTTCTTCCTCCACCCTCTTCTTCCATCCCAAAGCCTGACACAGATTTTTTTTTTTTTTGAGACGGAGTTTTGCTCTTGCTACCCAGGCTGGAGTGCAATGGCGCGATCTCGGCTCACCACAACCTCCGCCTCCCGGGTTCAGGCAATTCTCCTGCCTCAGCCTCCTGAGTAGCTGGGATTACAGGCACGTGCCACCGTGCCCAGCTAATTGTTTGTACTTTTAGTAGAGACGGGGTTTCACCATGTTGACCAAGATAGTCTTGATCTCTTGACCTCGTGATCCACCCGCCTCAGTCTCCCAAAGTGCTGGGATTACAGGCTTGAGCCACCGCGCCCGGCAGACACAGATTATGGAGAGAAAGAACAGGAGCCATGGGCAGGGCTGTGCAAACAGGATTGGCTCATCTCAGCATCTTGGTGTCTTTTCACCTTCCACTTTTATTCAAACACCTGGCAGGAAGAGGTGCTTAGTGGGATGAATGAGCTCATGCATTCTGATTTCTGGGCTTTTCAGTTTTAACAGTCTGCTTTCAGTTGAGGAGAGCAGTAACACCAGATGTTACATGCTGAATGGTGTCCCCACCCCCAATTCATATCTGAAAGTCCTAATCCTAATACTTTATTTATTTTTATTTTTTTTTTTTGAGACAGTCTTGCTCTGTTACCCAGGCTGGAGTGCAGTGGTGTGACCTTGTCTCACTGCAGCCTTCACCTCCCAGGTTCAAGCGATTCTCCTGTCCCAGCCTCCCAAGTAGCTGGGATTGCAGGTACGCACCACGACATCCACCTAATTTTTGTATTTTTAGTAGAGACAAAGTTTCATTATGTTGGCCAGGCTGGTCTTAAATTCATGACCTCAAGTGATCCTCTTGCCTCGGCCCCCCCCAAAGTGCTGGGACTACAGGTGTGAGCCACCACACCTGACCCTAATCCTAATACTTTAAAATGTGACTGTCTTTGGAGATAGGGCCTTCAGAGTGGTGACTGAGCTAAGTTTAGGTCATTCGGGTGAAAAAGAGGAGATTGGGACACAGACATGTACAGAGGGAAGATAGCGTGAAGATGTAGGGAGCAGACAGCCATCTATAAGCCAAGGAGAGAGGCCTCAGAACAAACCAACCCTGCTGACACCTTGGTCTTGGAATTCCAGCCTCCAGAATTGTGAGAAAATTAATTTCTGTTGCTTAAGCTGTGATAGGAAAATAAGTCTTGGGGCCCCAAAATCACTAAGCTAAAGGGAAAAGTCAAGCTGGGAACCGTTTAGGGCAAACCTGTCTCCCGTTTTATTCAAAGTCACCCCTCTGTTCACTGAGATAAATGTATATCTCACTGCCTCCTTTGGAAAGACTAAGCAGAAACTCAAAAGAATGCAGCCATTTGTCTCTCACTTACCTGTGACCTGGAAGCCCCCTCTCTACTTGAGTTGTCCCACCTTTTGGACAGAACCAGTGTACATCATACATATATTGATTGGTGTCTCATGTCTCCCTAAAATGTATAAAACCAAGCTGTGCCCCAGCCACCTTGGGCACAGGTCATCAGGACCTCCTGAGGCTGTGTCATGGTACCCTCAACCTTGGCAATACAAACTTTCTAAATTGACAGACTTGTCTCAGATATTCTGGGTTCACAAAGCCACCCTGGTAGTTCAAGTACACAAATACACCAGTGGAGAGGCATTTTGAGATCTCATCCTCTCCCTGCTCATGCATGGCATGTGTAACCTTAAGGAGAATAAAGTCCCAGGGGAAAAGAAAAGTCAGGCCTGGTGTGGTGGCTCATGCCTGTAATCCCAGCACTTGGAAAGCCAAGGCCAGCAGATTACTCGAGGTCAGGAGTTCAAGACCAGCCTGGCCAACCTGGTGAAGCTCTATCTCTACTAAAAATACAAAAATTAGCCAGACATGGTGGCAGGCACCTGTAATCCCAGCTACTCAGGAGGCTGAGGCAGGAGAATCATTTGAACCCAGGAGGCAGAGGTTGCAGGGAGCTGAGCCACTGCACTCCAGCCTGGGTGACAGAGTGAGACTGTCTCTGGAAAAAAAAAAAAAAGAGAGAGAGAAAGACAGCTTAGATTCCGGAGGTTTACTGATAGGACTTTATCTCCTAGATAGGTTGGGGCAAGAGAGTGCAGAAGAGACTTGTGCTCATTTCCAGGTGAAGCCTGTGGTGGCAGACGTCTAGGAGAAGTGACCCTGTACCAGCAGGAGCGTTAGCAGGAGAGCAAAAGGGAACTTGTGGTCCTACCATGCGGGCCAGCTCCTGCAATGTCCCCATATCCTTGGTGGCACACACAACAGACTAGAAAAAAGCTGCCTCAAGGGTCCGGCCACTGGAACTCAGAGGTTGCCAAATCTAGAACTGGATACATAGATGTGGATGCCAGCAGCCAAGCTGGAATCTGCTTGATGGCTAAAATCAGGTATGTGACAGTCTTCCTGGGTTCTTCCCCCTGAGTGCCAGTGTGCCCTCACCCTCACTTGTCTCAAGCATAGATGCCACCGCAAAGACGTGGGGAGAGGAAAAGCCTGAACTGGCTGACAACATCCTGCTGCAGTGGAACCCAGGCTGAACTGGCAAACGAAGTGTTCTCCCATTAGGTATGATGGCAACTGAAGAGAGAAACCAAGTTTGTTATTAAAAAGTAATACAGCCAGGTGTGGTGGCTCATACCTGTAAATCCCAGCACTTTGGAGGCCGAAGTGGGAGGATTACTTGAGGCCAGGAGACAAGGTGGGCAACATAGATCCTGTCTCTACAAAAAAAATTTAGAAAATAATAAAATTGCTATAGGGGCTGGGGGCATAATGGAGTTACTAATGGGTGTAGAGTTTCAGATTTACAAAATAAAAAGTGTTTTGGAGACGTATCGTAATGATGATTGCACAATATGAATGTGTTTAATACCACTGAGCTGTGCCCTTATAAGTGGCTGGGGCGGTAAGTTTTGTTATATTTTACTACAGTTTTACGAGTTGGAAGAACAAAACAATGCTGTAAGTTTCTCCACCTGAGGTTGTGGCTTATGAAATTCATACCCCTGACAACGGATAAAAACTGAGGTGGAGCTAGGGTGAATAGAGGATGAGCTCAGGGGAGAGATGGAAAGACTGCTCAGGGAGTGCCAGGAGCAGCAGGAGATGGAGGTGGGAAGGTGTGGATGCTGCTGTTTGCTTGGCGTCATCCTGGGCAACACCTCAAAACCAGGCACAACCCTCTCAGTTACACACACACGCCGCCTTTAACATCCTGCAATCCCATCTCCCAACCTGAAGGAATTACCCGACGGTTGGAATCTATACTCTTCTCTCAAGCAGACATTCCCACAAAGTTCAAGGAAGAGAACGTCGGGTAAGATAATTTTATTTCTCAAGGCAAGGGGTAATGTGAGACCCAACTGTGTTCTATCTGAAGCATAAAAGCCAATTGTAGCAAATGCATCTTACTTATGTTCAATGCTGGCCAGAGGAGCTATTCTGCTTCCTTTAGAAGTTATGTTTTTTATTGTGGCTTGTGGTAACCATGTAACATGCAAGAGCAATGGTTTTCAGGAATAAACTATGCCTTTTAGCTTTTGCCTCAAATCACCAGAAAACTCGAACTGTCTCATTAAACATTCCCATAAATGCTGACAGAAAAAAGTATTTATTATCGTATGAAATTGTCTATGCCTTCAGACTGTAATTCCTGTATAGTCAGATGGTGACCATGCACATCCTTCTGGATGAATGAAAACTTGGAAAGCAGAGAAAGCTGCTTGGGTCCTGGCTGGCTGGCTCTCCCTTCAGCTTGCTCCCCCGGGAGCCCTTGGCATCTCCTTCTGCGTTTTCTGGTATGTGTTGGAGGCTTCTCACATCTTGGAGAGCCTGATGTCGTAAGTAACCATGTTCAAGTTGTCCCAGGCGAAGAGCTTCTTCTCCAGGGGGTTGTAGTCAATCATGCTGCTGTACTTGTAGCGGTTCTTGAATGGGATGGTCAGGGTCTTGCTGATACCTGTGGCTGTGTCATAAGCAAAGTTGACGGTAGCATCTGCTGAGGAGTAGCTGCTGATGGTGTACAAGGTGCCACAGATGATGAAGGCATTGGCAACTGACTGCTTACGGATGTTGGTCTCCCAGGTTTGTTCGAGTTCCAGATTCTCTGGATTCAGTTTGGAGAGGACAATGGCACCTTTTGCCTCATCAGTGCTGTAAATGACCCAGAGGCCTGACTCATCCACAGCCATGTCAATGTCTGTGTAGCCACCCCAAGAATACGGGAACTGTCCATGGTAGCCAGCTCCAGGGATTTCCTTCTCAGCCTTCACTGTCTCGGTATTCAGCTCATATCTTATGACGGTTCTGGACTCAGCGCCCTGGAAATAGAGGCTCCCTGCATACACTACAGCGCCCGTGCTTTCCAGGGGCCTGGGCAGTACATGAACCTTAGAAGGGTAGCCCTGCATAAACTGGCTGATGAGGTCATACTCAAAAACCTGACGGACATCTGTGCCAACCGTGTCAATTCTCCACGTGGTCTCCCGGGTGTAGGGGTAGGTGGGCTTGGGGTCTCGCATCCACACACCATACTTGCCAGTAATTGTTTCTGCTGTTCTCAGCGTGAGAGGCTCTCCTACCCACACTAGTTCTCCGCATCCTGGTGAATTCAGAAAAGAACACAAAGCACCACTTATTCATAATCTTTCCAAACACAGACTGTGACCATTAGGAAGCTTGGCAGAGCCGGTAGATGTGAGAGCCCTGGAGACAGATCATCCGGGTTTAAAGCCAGGCTCTGCTACCCACTGGCTGTGTGACTTTCAGTAAGTTATTTAGCTCTCTACACTTCAGTTATCCCATATGTAAAAAGGGGATACGAATAGTGTGTTGGGTAGTAGCGTTGTAAATTTTACGTGTAATCCTATATGTTGAGTGCTGGTATAGAGTAAATATACAGTAAATGCTGTGTGACCAATCTGTGACTCATGTTATTGACAGTTATTGCTAGCACTGAGGGCCACGCTTAGGAGTGGGAGCTATAAAATAAAGTACAATTCACTCAGTATCAGTTATAAAGATGAAGGTTGCACAGAGGGTCTCAATTGCGTTTGTAATAGTCTACTTAAGCTGGGCAGGGACTCATGGGTGTTCATTGTATTACTTATTGTGACTTTCATGCCTGGTTTATTTCATCACTATAAGATAGGAGAGAGAAAAATAAACTCATAAGAATAATCTCCATACAACAAAGTTTCTCAAGCCCTATCTGATGAGTCACATGTTTCATGCATCATTTTAATATAATAAACATGAAAATAATTATTTTTTGAGACAGAGTCTTGCTCTGTTACCTAGTACAGTGGTGCAATTGCAGTGCACTGCAGCCTCAAACTCCCAGGCTCAAGCAATCCTCCCACCTCAGCCTCCTGAGTTGCTGGGACTACAGGTGCCTTCCACCATGCCTGGCTAATTTGGTTTAGAAAATTATTTTTTAAATGTAGTGAAGAGACAGTTGAAAATTTAGTTAGCAGAATCACAACAGATTCCTGTCCTTTTTTTTTTTTTTTTTTTTTGAGATGGAGTCTCACTCTGTCACCCAGGCTAGAGGGCAGTGGTGTGATCTTGGCTCACTGCAACCTCTGACTCCTGGGTTCAAGCAATTCTCCTGCCTCAGCCTCCCAAGTAGCTGAGATTACAGGTGTGTGCCACCACATCCAGCTAATTTTTATATTTTTAGTAGAGATTTTTCTCTACTAAACATTTTTCACCATGTTGGCCAGGCTGGTCTCGAACTCCTGACCTCAAGTTATCCTACCACCTCAGTCTCCCAGAGTGCATAATTTACAGTGGCTCACAGGCTTGAGCCACTGCGCCTGGCCCAGATTTCTGTACTTTTAATGGGCACCTTTGGTTTCCTCATAGAAAGTAGAAACACTTTGCTGCTCATATCTCAGAGAACCATGTTTTAAATATTTTATAACCCCTACCTGCATGCATGCTCTTCAGTGCTAGTAATAATTGTCAATAACATGGATAGTGAAAGTTTCTGGAAACTATAGTATTAGTCATAAAGTTGGACTTTCGGGGAACTCTCTGGAGAGAGCCAAACTGTACTTTTCCTAAGCGGCCAAAGTTCAGAAAACATCCTGTTAGTAACAGATTGTGGCTAAGATGCTGCTTGGTGTACACCTGTCCTTAAAATAAAGATATGAAGATGCTACTGAAAATGTAATTTCTCAGGTGCACTTTATTCTTCATGACCATTAAGTGGGTGAAATCAACACATCTCTTATCTTCCCCTGTGCAGCCCAGCCAACTCAGCCCAGCCCAGCCTTCCAAGTGTGGGTGATAGGATATAGGGCTTTGCTAGGGAAAGGCTGACTCCTGCAGACCTGCTCTGACAAGGGAGCAGAGAGACAGAGAATTCTGTTCTTCTCCTCCTCTCCTCCCTCTGCTCCCAGGGAAGTTACTTGTTTCCCCTTGGGTGGGCATTTACCCTGTACTGATTCTCTGAACACAGCACTAGACATGAATGAAGACCATGTGGGCACAAAAGGGAAGAAACCTAACTTCATACCATTGGCTCCTTCTCTACTCCTGAGATGGCCAGATGGGCTCTCCTTCAAAATTCGGGAAGCAGGAACTTCAGTTAGCTCAGACTTCAGTTCCTGGAAGGCCAAAGTATCCAAATTCCATGTGGAAACTGCATTAAAAGAAAGAGACAAAATTTTACTGTAAGAAAAAAATGGCCCAAAGATTGACTATGTTGAGGATGACATTTAAATAGACTCCCAGCTGGGCATGGTGGCTTATGCTTGTAATCCCAACACTTTGGGAGGTCGAGGTGGGCAGATCACCTGAGGTCAGGAGTTTGAGACCAGCCTGGCCAACATAGTGAAACCCTGTTTCTACTAACAATACAAACAAATTAGCTGGGCATGGTAGTGGGCGCCTGTAATCCCGGCTTCTTGGGAGGTGGAGGCAGGAGAATCGCTTGAAGCCGAGGGGCAGAGGTTGCAGTGAGCTGAGACTGCACCATTGTACTCCAACCTGGGCAACAAGAACAAAACTTTGTCTCAAAAACAAATAAATGGGCCGGGCACAGTGACTCACACCTGTAATCCCAGCACTTTGGAAGACCGAGGTGGACAGGTCACCTGAGGTCAGGAGTTTGAGACCAGCCTGACCAACATGGAGAAACCCTGTCTCTGCCAAAAATACAAAATTAGCCGGTGTGTTGGCCTGTGCCTGTAGTCCCAGCTACTAGGGAGGCTGAGGCAGGAGAATTGCTTGAACCCAGAAGGCAGAGGTTGCGGTGAGCCGAGATCGTGCCATTGCACTCCAGCCTAGGTAACAAGAGTGAAACTCCATCCCAAAATAAATAAACAAAATAAATAGGCTCCCAAATATGTGGTGTTTGAGATTTTATTTATTTATTTATTTATTTATTTATTTATTATTAAGATGGGGTTTCACCATGTTGGCCAGGCTGGTCTTGAACTCTTGATCTCAGGTGATCCACCCACCTTGGCCTCCCGAAGTCCTAGGATTACAGGTGTGAGCCACTGCTCCTGGCCCTGAGATTTGATTTTAAATAAGGACTGGGGGTAGAGTGGGGTCAGCGAAGCCTGACTGACTGTGCTGATAATGGTGGGGCCTGAGTGACAGCTACATTGGGGTTCACTGTAGTCCCTCTACTTTTGTGAATGTTTGAACAATTCCATAATTTAAAACCTCATAAATAATAAATTGTATAGCAATGTGCCTACCTTAGAGTAGGATATTCAAAATCAAATAAGATTTTAATTAATTTCCACTAGAAGGGCTGACTTGTGAATAGGTGAGTTGTAATTTCAGGAATTTTGAGACAGTCCTCAGCATCTGCTTAGATGTCTGAATTTCAACAACTAAAATTTCATGAGAAATGATCTGGGCATGGTGGTACTTGGGAGGCTGATGTAGGAGGATTGCTTGAGCCCAGGAGTTCCAGGCGGCAGGGAGCTATGATCCTACCACTGCACTCCAGCTTGGGTGACAGAGCAAGGCCCAATCCCGCCACCACCCCCCAACTAAAAAAAAAAAGCCAGGTGCAGTGGCTCATGCCTGTAACCCCAGCACTTTGGGAAGCCGAGGTGGGTGGATCACTTGAGGCCAGGAGTTCAAGACAAGCCTGACCAACACGGTGAAACCCCCATCCCTACTAAAAATACAAAAATTAGCCAGGTGTAGTGGCACATGCCTGTAGTCCCAGATACTCAGGAAGCTGAAGTTCACTTGAATCCAGGAGGCAGAGGTTGCAGTGAGCAGGGATCATGAACTACACTGCAGCCTGGGTGACAGAGTGAGAGTCTGTTTCAAATAAAAAAAAGAAAGAATTTAACTGTGGCCAGCTACAGTGGCTCATGTCTGTAATTCCAGCACTTTGGGAGGCCAAGACAGGAGGAGTACTTGAGCCCAGGAGTTCAAGACCAGCTTGAGCAACATAGGGAGACCCTTTTTCTTAAAAAAGATAAAAATTTACTGAATGACTTATTCCCTTGTTAGATGCAAATATTCTAAGTAACATATTAAGTTTCACTTTCAGTAGAAATATTCTGCCTGATTCTTTTCTGAGACCAGTTTTGCATAACAGAGAGGGAGTGTGTGCAGAGTTTCAGAGTTTATGGGAGTGGGTGAGCCATACAGAAGGGAAGCAGGCCGGCAGCACTAGTTAGACAGTAAGTGATCACAGTGTGCCACATGTCTCTACTCTTGCTTAGGATTATGATCTTACAGCAACTCTTGAACACAAGGACAAAGAAACAGCCACAAGGAACAGGCTTGGTTGTTTTAAAATACAGTTTAGTCAGGCGCTGTGGCTTATACCTGTAATCCCAGCATTTTGGGAGGCCAAGGTAGGCAGATTGTTGGAGCCCAATAGTTCAAGACAAGCCTGGGCAACATGGTGAAACCCCATCTCTACTAAAAATACAAAAAGTTAGCCAGGTGCAGTGATGTGCACCTGCAGTCCTAGCTACTTGGGAGGCTGAGGGGGGAGGATCACTTGAACCCAGGAGGTCAAGGCTGTGGTGAGCAGTGATTGTGCCACTGCACTCCAGCCCTGGTATAGAGTGAGACCCTGTCCACCCCTCCAACCCCACAAAAAACCTATCTCTCTCTCTCTCTCACACACACACACACACACAAACACACACACACAAATAAAATGCAGGTTTGACGATTATTCAGGTATGGCCAGGCCAGCATCCCAGGAGGCAATTGTCATTGAAAAGCAAGTTAAAGCAAAACTAAGGAGACAGTGAAAAGATCAGCTGTTATTGGGGTGAGGAAGGGATGACTAGGTGAGGCACAGAGGATTTTCAGGGCAGTGAAGACTGTATATGATACTACAATGGTGGACACACGTCACTATGCATTTGCCCAAACCCGTAGAATGCGTAACACCCAAAATGAACCCTAACTAAAACTGTGGACTGTGGGTGATGTGCCTGCTGATGCAGGATCATCAGTTGTAAGAAATGTACTGCTCTGGCGGGAGATGATGGTAATGGGGATGGCCGTGCATGTGTGGGGCCGGTAGTATCTGAGAACTCACTGTACTTGCTCTCAGTTTTGCTGTGAACATAAAACTGCTCTAAGATCATTTTTGCAAGTTGTCATACTCACAGATCCCAAGAGGCATGGGGCACACTAAGCCCAGGAGGTCACCTGGGCAAGCACCAGGGTTCCTCCAGAGGAAGAGGGAGCCAGAGAAAAATGTGGGAAAGAGCCTTTATTCTCTCCATGGGAAGAGAAGGGGAGGCAGGGTAAGCAGGTTTAGGACTGGGGAGCGTGAATAATTTCAGCAGGCTCTGGGGCCAGAGGAGTTATCTCTAATTGTCTGGTACCAGGCCCTGGGGTGATTAGGTCAGGGGGATACTGGCCTTGAGTTTGAGCCTAATGGAGGAGGTGGCCGGGTGTGAGCTCTGGATTGGTTGGTTTGCATCTGAAGACAAGTCCTTTGCTCTCTGGAAGAACTGGCTACCCCTGGGAGGGACAGTCCCTCCAGTGTTTGTTTGCAGGGCCCAGAGATCAAAACACCAGAATAAAAAGACATGCTTAATACACTGGGCTTTTCTGTTGCTGAACCTCTGAGTCACTTCTCTGCCCTTTGAACAACTTGGTTCCCCGCTCAGGATTCTCAGGTGTTCAGGAAGGTCATCCCATCACCTGAGGCCTGGGTGCCTACACAGCTGAGGGGCAGGAAGACACGTTCTGCCTTTTATCATTTGTTTGCTCAACTCTAAAATCTAAATTTAGATTTCAGGCAGGGAGAATCACCACAGAACTCTTTTTTTCTTCTTCTTCTTCTTTTTTTTGAGATGGAGTTTCGCTCTTGTTACCCAGGCTGGAGTGCAATGGCGCGATCTCGGCTCACCGCAACCTCCGCCTCCTGGGTTCAGGCAATTCTCCTGCCTCAGCCTCCCGAGTAGCTGGGATTAGAGGCGTGCGCCACCATGCCCAGCTAATTTTTTGTATTTTTAGTAGAGACGGGGTTTCACCTTATTGACCAGGATGGTCTTGATCCCTTGACCTCGTGATCCGCCCGCCTCGGCCTCCCAAAGTGCTGAGATTACAGGCGTGAGCCACCGCGCCCGGCCCCAGAACTCTTAACCCTCTAGTTGTACCACATTTCATCAAAGCCACACATAAGTTTACATGTTCACGTCTCTGCAGTCAGGGTGCCTTGTTTAAGTTGCTGGGGTTCAGCTTCAACAAATTATAGTACCAGAAAAAATTTCTCCCTGGAAGGAGCTGAAGAGAACACTTAGCTAGCTGTCAGGTGTGGGCTGGGCCGGACAGCCCTGCTGCCCACACTGGGCCAGCTCAGCAGCTGCCGCAGCTGCCCACACTGATCCCAACTGCCGTTCTCTCCTCTCCACCCCTGCCTGTGTGTGGCTACAGTTGTTCAACAGCCTCCCTAAGTGTAATGCCCTGGAGGTGAGTGGGTCCTCCATCTCTGGGATATCCTTCATTCTAGAGTGGACCATGTGAGTAGTTAAAACCTGTAAGCTGGCCAGGAGCAGTGGCTTATGCCTATAAGCCCGGCACTTTGGGAGGCCGAGGTGGGAGGATTGCTTGAGGCCAGGAGTTTGGGACCAGCCTGGGCAACACAGTGAGAAGTCATCTCTACAGAAAATTAAAGTGTCAGCTGGGTGTGCTGGTGCAGCCTGTGGTCTCAGCTACTTGGGAGGCTGAGGCAGGAGGACGGCTCTTGAGCCCAAGAGGGCAAGGCTGCAGTGAGCCATGGTCATGTCACTTTACTCCAGCCTGGGTGACAGAGTGAGACCATGTCTTTAAAAAAAAAATTAAAAAGGAAGACTTGGCCTGGCGCGGTGGCTCATGCCTGTAATCCCAGCACTTTGGGAGGCCGAGGTGGGTGGATCACAAGGTCAAGAGATCGAGACCATCCTGGTCAACATGGTGAAACCCCGTCTCTACTAAAAATACAAAAAATTAGCTGGGCATGGTGGCGTGTGCCTGTAATCCCAGCTACTCAGGAGGCTGAGGCAGGTGAATTGCCTGAACCCAGAAGGTGGAGGTTGCGGTGAGCCGAGATTGCTCCATTGCACTTCAGCCTGGGTAACAAGAGCGAAACTCCATCTCGAAGGAAAAAAAAAAAAAAAGGAAGACTCATAAGCCAAAATGTATAGGCAACTGAGG